GGAAAAGATCTTCACCAACCCTACATCTGACAGAGGACTGATCTCCAAAATATATAAAGAATTCAAGAAATTAGACAGCAAAATACCAAACAATACAATTAAAAATGGGCTACAGATCTAAACAGAGAATTCTCAACAGAAGAATCTCAAATGGCCAAAAGACATTTAAGGAATTGCTCAACATCCTTAGGCATCAGGGAAATGCAAATCAAAATGACTCTGAGATACCATCTTACACCTTGTCAGGATGGCTAAGATCAAAAACACTGATGACAACTCATTTTGGAGAGGATGTGGAGCAAGGGGAGCACTCCTCCACTGTTGGTGAAAGTGCAAACTTGTACAACCACTGTGGAAATCAGAATGGCACTTTCTCAGAAAATTGAGAATCATTCTACCTCAAGACCCAATGATACCAGTCTTTGGCATATACCCAAGGGATGCTCAAGTATATCACAATGACACTTGCTCAACTATGTTCATAGCAGCATTATTCGTAATAGCCAGAACCTGGAAGCAACCTAGATCTATCAACAGAAGAATGTATAAATAAAATGTGGTACATATATGCAATGGAATACTACTCAGCAGAGAAAAACAATGACATCATGAGGTTTGCAAGCGAATGGATGGAACTAGAAAATATCATCCTGAGTGAGGTAACCCAGACTCAGAAAGATGAACATGGTATATACTCACTCATAAGTGGATACTAGAGGTAAAGCAAAGGATAATCAGACTACAAACCACAGCTCCAAAGAAGCAAGGAAACAAGGAGGACCCTAAGAGGCATGTATGGATCACCTTGGGAAGGGAAAACAAAGGAGATCCCAATGAGAAAACAGGGGATGGGGGGGGGCAGCAATAGAAGATAGGTGGTGGGGGATGAGAACATGAGGGAATGGGATGGTCAAGCTGGGGGAGGGATGAGTGTGAGAGCAATATAAGAGATATCTTGATAGAGGGAGATTCCACAAGGACAACCCCAGATTAGACTACTAGCAATAGTCGTGAGGGTGCCTGAACTGGCCTACCCTGGTAATCAGATTGGTGAATAACCTAACTGTCATCATAGAGCCTTCATCCAGTAACTGATGGAAGCAGATGCAGAGATCCACAACCAAGCACCAGGCCAAGCTCCAAGAGTCCAGTCAAAAAGAGTGAGGAGGGATTATATGAGCAAGGGGAGGTCAAGATCATGATGGGGAAATCTACAGAGACAACTAAACCAAGCTCAAAGGAACTCACAAACTTTAGGCTGACAGCTATGGAACTTTCATGGGACCGGACTAGACCCTCTGTATTGGGGATGTAGCTGAGTTTGTTTGAGGGGCCCCTGGCAGTGTGATCAGGATCTATCCCTGGTGCATGAGCTGACTTTCTGGATCCCATTACCTACGGTTGGACAACTTACCCACCCCTCATAAAGTGGGAGTGGGGGGTAGAGCTTGGTCCTGCCTCAAATGAATGTACCAGGCTTAGCTGTGCCCCCCATGGGAGGACTTACCCTGTTAGAGAAAAAGATGGGGGAGGGGAAGGCAGGGGCGGGAAGAGGGATGATAGGGGAATCTATGGTTAGTATATAAAATGAATAAAAAAAATAAGCCTCCATGTGTAATTTATTTGGGAGCTGGGTGGCAGACCCCCAAAAGACCCAAAAGAGTAAAAAACAACCAACATTTTGGCATTTCAACATGAGCCCATAGAAAGCTGACCTACAAGGAAGACACTCAATAATCAACCTCTGGCCTCCAAATACTTGTACACAAAGGTTCACCCATGCACATGTGAACATGAATACACACATGCAAAAAGGAAGGCTTCCATTACACTAGAGATGTTTGTAGAATATCATGTGAATATATATAAATTGGTAATTGTATATAGAACACTAGAGCTCAAAAGGAAATTTAGAACAAGATTTTTTATTTTTTACAACACCATTCAGTTCAACATAATAGCCACAGATTCCCCTGTTCTCCCCCTCTAGCCCCCCTCCCCCTCCCCCCAGCCCACCCCCCATTCCCACCTCCTCCAGATCAAGGTCTCCCCGAAAACCAGGATCGACCTGGTAGACT